AGTGTCCACGGCAGACTTGCCAGTGAAAGCGAATTGGTCGCTGATGCTGCCCAGGAATGGTATATCGTGTGGCAGCAGCCACGTTTCCTGAAGTGCTATAATATCCGCTGTTTCACATATTTTGCTTACACATTCCACAGATTCCACAGATTCAGTTAAATGTTACAATATTGCATTGGCTCACAACACTAAAAGTCTTAATAAGCAGCAGTTTTTTCTTATTCGCCCAATATCTATCAGTAGACAGGACGTTTAAATTTGATATTAGGTTGACAATTTGATTACTATCCCAAGAAGCCGCTTTCAGACTATATTTATAAGCCAAGAATTGCTTTCTCAGAAACAATGGCATTAAATTTAACTCACTTTCCATAACATGGATCGGTGAACTTTTAATAAAACCCCCTATAATTCTTAAGGCTTGGTTTTGCAATCTGTCAAGTTTTAATAAATGTGCTTTAGCACAACAGTCAAAGATGAATGATCCGTAATCTATTCGACTTCTTATCAAATTAATATATAACCTACGCAAATCTCTCTGGCGCTCGTTGGAAGCGGACGTGTCCTAGAAATAATTTTAAAATACTGAAATTTCTATAATAGTTGAACAACCCAAAGTGATGTTTAAAAGTTTATTTTAAAGTGTAGTTCAGTGCGTGCTTTTTAATTACAACATTTTACTTGCACTCATACGAAGATTACGCAGTAACCGACAACGCAATGAGTCTGCAAAGAACACCGCCTAGTACGTTACTGACGAGGGTTAGCGATATCGGAAGCGGGTCGGTTCCAAATCTGTCGACCTGCGGCGATGAAGAATGGTATGCAAATGTTAACTCCAGAAAGCGAAAGGAACGAACTGACGAGATTGATTATAAAAAGGACTTCACAAACTTTCGTATCTAAATGATGAAGTTTCTTGAAGATTTTGCAAAAAACCAACATGATAACTTAAACCACATACAAGAGGAGTTATCAGAGATCAAAAATGAAATAAAAACAATAAAATCAACAACAGATCATTTCACACAGCGATTCGAACACATTAACTCCGAATTAGAACAAATCAAATCGAACAACACTACAACCGGGGACAAATCAAACAAATAGAAAACGAAATCTCACAGTTAAAAGACAAACAAAACATTAATATCCAAATGGTAGATGAACCTCCCATCCTTAATCACGAAAATCTTATTAAGGAACTTAAAGACCGATGCGACCGGGAAAAAAACATCATTTTAGTAGGTACAGTGGAAATTTTCGATAAAAACCCAAACTATAGACGAAGCTATGAAAATCAAGAAGTTATTAAATTATTAACATCCACATACGAAGCCTGCCCTAAACCAATAAGGTGTATGAGACTGGGAAAAATAAACTCCGAACAAAAACCGACCTATTAAAGTATGTTTTAACGATAACAGTACACCAAAGTTTCTACTGCGAAACAAAGCAAAACTACCCGAAAGTATACAGATGTTTTCAGATCAAACCCCGGCGCAAAAGGTGTATCTACAGTCACTGAAGGAAAAGGTAAACAAACGTGTAGAAGACGGCGAGACAAGTCTTACTATTAAGTATTTGAAAGGAATACCTACAATTATCGAATCTAAATCCAACCAAAAAAACTAGTAACAATTACACCACAAAAGGCTAAGAAATTTCACACTAAAGAAATGAGTAGATTAAGTCACCAACTAGTAAACAAATATGAAAATATCCCAATACATCCGTCCTCATTAAGATTCTTATATGCTAACTTGCGTAGTATTCGTAAAGATGGCAAACTAGACGAAATAAAATGTATATTAAAAGCGATACCAACCACTACCCACTTGTTGATATTCACTGAAACTTGGATTAACTCAGAAGCCGATTATTTTATTTTATTTTATTTTGTTCGGAAAACATACAGTGTATATAACAAAGGATACAACATGTGTTAACACTATCCACCATTTACATGTTGTCTAGTCATCCTGTTTGGTACTTTAAGGTTGATTTTGGATAATAAGGTAGGTGAATCAATAACGTTCTGAGAAATTTTGACAAGACAAGTGACATCTGAAATCCTCCTTCTTTCACACAATGGTAAGATATGATGTCTTCGACAACGCGCTTCATAAGTTGAGTCGTAACACTTTGACTTGTATTGCAGATGCTTCAGAAACCTACGCTGTATAGATTCCAGTCTTTCCCTGTGAACGTTGTATCGAGGATTCCACACTTGCGAGCAATACTCGAGGACACTAACCAGCGAGCAATATAGCACTTTAACACTTTCAAATTTTTAAATTGAGAACCAGACCTGAGAACGAAACCCAATGCCCTACTAGCCTTTTTAGCAATATCTTTATATATATAATTCTTCTGTGAGTGTGTATGTCACTGAACTTCTCTCAAACGACTGGACCGATTTTGATGAAATTTTTTGTGTGTGTTCAAGGGGATCTGGGAATGGTTTAGATTCACAATTTTGTCCGCTGGACACTGTTTTTTTAATTAATTTTTAATTTATTAGTAGTTGTTGATTTTGGAATGTTTTACATTGGATCAGACAGACGGCGCTACCATCGCAGTGTCAAATTTGACAGGACAACGTCTGTCGGGTCCGCTAGTAATCTATATGTTTTTCATATGTTAACTTGGAGTGGTGAATAACTCCCAGGTCTCGGACCTCATCCACCTACTGCAACTCATGACCCCTAATAGAATACGTAAAATTATTTTTTTTGGCTTTGCGAGTGAAGGTAATGAAATGACATTTATTAACATTTAAATCTAATTTATTAACCAAGTAATAGTGTTCAAATCTATCCAAGTCTTAATGAAGTTGGCGACAGTCATTAATGCAAGTAATGTTTTTGAATATCTTCATATCGTCGGCATAAAGCACAAATTTTGAATATTTTATACATTGGCTGACGTCATTTATGAATAAATTAAAAAGAAGTGGTGGCGGAGAAGGCCCGGGAGGACGACCTCCACTCGGACCCGATCCGCCGCCGGCGAACCGGGCGGCGGAGGCGCGCTTACCTGCGCCTCATGCCGCCCTGAGTGTGGCCGCGGGTGGAGGAGATGGGTTCTCCCCTCCACCCTCATTAGTTTGGCCAGCCGCGAGGGGGCGGCGTCCGCGTGTGCCGGACGTCGCGTAAAGAGAGGAAAATTTTGAGACAGAGCCCGCAACAGGAGCGGGCCGGCGCTGGGAGGGGTCCAGAAGGCGATAACTACCTGGACCCCTCCTAAACTGGAAGCGCAAAGAGGGCACACCGTGTGGTTTTAGTCGGTTCGAGTCCGACACACCGCCCCGCCGAACGAGAGCCCCGGCGGGGTGACGGTTCGAGGGGATTTCCACACGTTAAAAAAAAAAAAAGGTGGAACAGAACCCCTTTAGTACTACTGCCTGACATCGATTCTCAATATATGAAGCAAACCACCGGTAAAGGTTGCCGTGGACTCCCGCAAAAAGTAGTTTCTGTAAAAGTATTTTATGGTCAATGCGGTCAAATGCTTTACTGAGGTCAGTGAAAATTGCATCTACCTGTCCACCGCCATCCATGTTTGATGTCGTAAAGTCCGTAAAAAGTATTAAATTTGATAAAGTTGATCGTTGTCTTTGGAAGCCATGCTGTTTAGAAATTATAATTGAGGTAACTGCTTAATAAAGTTGTGAATACACAATCTTCTCCAACACCTTTGCAAAAACACATAACTTTGAAATAGGCCTGTAATTTTAAGCATCATTTTTGTTTCCGTTCTTGTGTATAGGGATGACAAATGCTGACTTCCAAATTCTAGGTACTAGTCCCTCTGAAATCGACCTTTTATACAGTATGGTAAGACATTCGACTAAGCATGCAGCACCTTTAACAATAAATAGGAGTACAATTTTATCGGGACCCGCCCCTTTCGATAGATTGAAATAGTTTGAGAACTGCATCAGCATCAACCACTATATCACCTATACAATTTGGTACGTCATTGTAAGACACAGGAGTTGGTAAGGAAGACGTCGACGGCGGAAGAAAGTTGGAGTAGAAGTGTGCAGCAAAAAGATTACATATTTCAACACCTGTGTCGGCTGACCGACCATTATAGCAAATAGTCGAGGGTAGTGAATTGGATCCATTTCTATTTGATTTAACATAGGACCAGAAATGCTTGGGGCATTTAATTATTCCACCTTCAGAGCGAGATATATACGAGATATAACACTCGTGTTCCATACGTTTAGCTCTTTCCCGAAGAAGGCAAAATGTGTTGTAGTCACTAGAATTACCATATACTTATTTGATATTTTTTATAAAATTTATATTTTTCCCTAAGTATTTTTTTCAAAGGACTGTAGTACCACGGTGGAAAAGAATTAGAGGAAATTACTTTTTGGGGTATCGATTGATATATGACGTCATAAAGGTGTTTATAAAATGTATCTACTGCGTCCTCTAAAGCGATATTTAAAGAGCTAAAGAGATTTATGGTGAGAGTCTTCAGGCACTAACGAGTTGCTACATGACGCGACAGTTACTCTGTGGTTACATATTATGTAATCGAGTATTCTACCATTTGTGTTTTTTGCAAGATTATATTGATTGAGGCCACATTCAGATAAGGTGTCAAAAAAGTACGCTTGAGATGTACCAGTAATCCCGTTCGCCTGCAAGTTACTCGGTTCACCGTGCCAGTCTATATGACTTAGGTTAAAGTCACCCATTATCAAAAATAAATCATTTGGATGAGAGTTCACAATTAACGAAAGTTTTTTGTTGAAATAGTGATTTTGTATTGTTTATGGTTCGTCTATGATTGTCTATGGAAGTGTCAGATGAGAACCCCGAATCTTTTTTTTTTTTTTGTTTTGTTAACTAAATGAACTGCATGTCGATAAAATGTAAATGGTCTGAAATAAAGAGATTTAACAATAAAGAGTGTGAAATATTAAGATGGTAGCAGATGTCTGTGGTTTACGTAGCATTATTAATACGAAATATTGAAAAATGGAGGAAAAAGATGAAATACGATTGCAGATATTTAACGGCGACGCATATGACAAATGGAAATTCCGATTAAAATTGTACCTGCAAATGAAAAAATGTAATGAAGTCGTAGAGAGAGAAACCAGGCCGTCTACGATCACGGAAGAAGCGTGGAACACGAATGAAATCAAAGCCAAAAACTACATAGTAAACAGCGTTTCCAATACGCAGTTGGAACTAATTTTAAATGAAGAAACTGCGAGAGAAATGATTCTTAAGTTCGATAGTATCTACGGCACTAAGAGTTCGGCAAATAAATTACTCAGTAAAAAACGCCTATTAGAACTGAAAATGAACGAAAGTGAGGACCCAATGGAGTTCTTAAACAAATTTGAGGCCCATATAAATGATCTCATACGATGTGCGGAAACAGTGACGAAGGTAGACAAACTCAATTATTTACTGTTATCATTGCCACAGTCATATTCTTATATAGTGGACATCATCGACGCTCTTCCAGAGCATGAAAAGTCAGTTGAATACGTAAAATCGAAATTGCTCTTAGAACAGAAGAAAAGGGAAACAGACAGAGGGAATGGACAAACATTCAATACCAGAACCGAGAAGAGAAAGTGTTACAAGTGTGGAAAGACAGGACATCTACAATACAACTGCAGAAGTGTAGGAGGTGATACTGGTTGGAGAACAAATCATTCAAGGCATCCTCTTGCATTGAGAGGACAAGAACAAGGACAGTACAACGGAAGAGGCCAGTATAGAGGTAGAGAGGTCAACAGCGAGGTCAAGGTCACAGAGGTTCATGGAGAGGAATGGCAGGCACATCACTAGTACAGCAGGAACGTATGAACACCTTCAACGTGGAAGTAGTGCAGGCAGCAGCGGCATATGGTGGGTCAGGTGAAAATAGACATGAACTTGTTTGGTTATTGGACAGTGGTTGTTCTGATCATATTGTGAATACAGATGATTATTTTTGTGAGTCTAAAAATTTATCAAATCCAGTGGATATTAAAGTTGGTGATGGTTTTGCATTAAAATCTAATAAGATAGGAAACATTGTTATAGATTTCAGTATAAATGGTCAGCAATGTAAAACAAAAATATTTAATGTTTATTATGTACGAAGTATGTATGTAAGTATGAAGCAAAACTTATTAAGTGTTTCAAGTATTACTGCTCAAAATAATTTAGTCATATTTAATAAAAATAATGCTAAAGTTTATGGCCCTAAAAACAACCTTATTGCTTATGCTTTAAAATATAATAAATTGTTTATATTAAAAGGTAAGGTAAAATCAAATAATGTTACTTTAAATTCATGTTATAGTGCAAGTATGACTGAAAAAGAAAAGTGGCATAGAATTCTAGGTCATACAAATTTTTATAATGTTAGAAAATTATGTAAGTATAATTTATGTATTGGCTCACCTCAAACTATTGAAAATGGTTTTTACCAGTGTGAAATTTGCATACAAAATAAAATGTCAAACTTACCTTTTTATAAAATAACAGGCGTAGAGCTCAAGATATACTTGAAATTCTACATACAGATGTGAATGGCCCCATACAACCTATAGGTTATAATGGTGAAAGATATTTTGTCAGTTTTATAGATGACTATAGTAAATTAGCTAAAGTTTTTTTTGTATTAAACAAAAAAGTGAAGTTTATTCTTGTTTTGTGGATTATATGAACCTAGTACACAACCAGACTGGAAAAAGGATCAAAGAACTACAGTGTGACAATGGAACAGAATATCTGAACAGAAACTTTTATGAATTGGCCAGGGAACAGGGTATACATTTAAAACCGTGTCCACCGTACACACACGAACTTAATGGAGTCGCAGAGAGAAACAACAGAACTGTAATGGACAGAGCAAGATGTTTACTTGCTGAAGCAATCATAAGTAAAAGCTATTGGCCCGAATGTGTTAAGACAGCTGCATACCTAGGAAACAGATTATTAACAAATACACTTATTAAGAAAACTCCATATGAAATATTCTTGGGAAGGAAACCGGATGTGTCATATCTGAAAATATTTGGAAGTGAAGCTTATGTAAGAGTACCAGAACAAAGAAGAACATCAAAGTTAAATCCGAAAGCAGTGAAAGGAATTTTAGTAGGTTACACGGTGTAACGGTGCATTTCGCACCATTACAGAAAATTTAATTATCAACGTGTTTTTAGTTTGACAGTTGAAGTTTCTGACGTTTCAGTAAGGCTCAGAGAGATGGCGTCACAATCGAGATTTTTTTAAGCCTATTTGAATGACTGTGTTATCGGTTCGGTCTATGAAATTATATAATCTGTGGACGTGTCATTCGATTTGAGTTGTTTGCACTCTATTGCTCGGGCCACACTATTTTTTGTCACTTTAGCTTTTGGCGAGGTCGAAGTCAACTTACGAAGATGTAAGGCCTGTTGGCCATTTTTTTTGAAAGTCGGATGTAATCCGTCTCCATTTGTTATAATCAGAGGATTAATTCACTTTTTATTGTTGGCCAGTCTTGTTAAGGAAACGAGTTTTTTATTGGAAATATGAGTTTGCTTTTTTGGTAAGTTTTAATTCGCCACATGTTTCGTACTTGGCTTATGGAGACTAGTTGTTTTAAATCTTTGTTTATTTGGTTACAGGAATTATTAGTAATGCCTCTGATTTATTTGTGAAACGTTTTGGAACCCTGGTGAGTAAATTATTGTATCTTACCAGACTTAGATTTCATCTTTGGAGATTGGCAAATAACCTAAAATTTTCATTGTTGCAGTGTCAAACAGGGTTTTTTTCTTTACCTTATTTTTTTTTTATTAGTTTGGCTTTCCTTCTTATTAGACTGTAATGTCCATACGTTACAATTAGTTTTTACCTCACTACCTGCCCGATCCAAGGATTTAGTTTGCTTCGGAGTGTGGATTTCCTTTCCTAAGTACCTCTAATGGCAGGAAAAGACCTTTGTCTGTAGCCCATCATCAGGATCTGCTTGGGACCGGAACCAGGAAGCTTGGATTACTTACCCCGCCACTACAACCACGTGGGAGCACGAGTGAGCTTTATAAGAGTTAATTAACCCTTAATTTCAAACGGACAGAGCCAGAGTCATTTGGTACGTTCTTTTGTTGTACTAATTTGAGTATAAGAATTACATTTGTAATTAGACCTATAATATACCATGTACTCTACAGACACTACGGGATAATAAACTGCCACTTAAGCTTATAACATCTCTTTATTTAATAGCTGCCCCCCACCCTAGATTAAAGGTCTAGCGCTGACCGAGCTGTTCCAGGTAATTATTGTATTTGTTATTAGTTGTCTGTGTTCATTTAAGGTTAAGGCTCCTGGCGCCCGAGATTATTAGTTTTGTTAGAATTTGTGGTGCCGCACTAGTTAGTTATTTATTTATTTAGAACATAGATTAACATTACATTACATTGAAAAAATATTTTTTATTTTTTAATATTACAACGGATACAGGATACAGAGTGTTAGTGGAAAATAAGATATTAGTTAGTCGTCATATGAAATTTATTGAGAAAAGATCACAGTATGTTAAATTTAATAGTGAAGAAACAGAGATGGAGGATAATACTATAGAGGATATAGAAAATGAGAAGCCAAATAATGGAAATGATGAACAGCAAAATGAGGAAATTAAATCAAAGTGAAGAAAAAGAAGAAGATAAGAATATTAAGGAGGTGACAAAGGACAGACCAAATAGAACAAGAAAATGACCTGAAAAATACAGAGATTACAAAGTATATGCAAACTTTTGTAAAGTGGATATACCTGAAAATTATGAAGAAGCTATACAGCATTCAGACTCAAAGAAGTGGAAAAGGGCAATGGATGAAGAAATTAAAAGTTTAGAAGAAAATAATACTTGGAATATAGTAAAAGAGCCAATTGATAAGAAAATAATAGAAGTTAAATGAATTTATAGGATTAAGTCAAACGGAAAGTATAAAGCTTGAGTTGTAGCGAAAGGTTTTCAACAAATATACAGTGAAAATGAAGAGATATACTCACCTGTAGCAAGAATGACAACATTGAAAGTATTGTTATCGGCAGCATGTAGAAATGGTTAGGAAGTTGAACAAATGGATGTTGAAAATGCATTTTTGAATAGAAGTATAAAGTCAGAGGTGTATATTTATCCACCTGATGGTTATGAGACAGAAGAAGGGAAAGTTTATTTATTGAGAAAGTCATTATATGGTTTGCGAGAGAGTCCACGAGACTGGTATGAGTGTTTTCATGATTTTATGGAAGAAATTAACTTTAAGAGATCTCACTATGATTACTGTCTATATTTAGGATGTATAAAAGGCAAAGAAGTATATGTAATTCTATATGTTGATGATTTGCTCATTATGTGTTCTAATTGCACTTACATAAAGGAAGTTAAAGAAATGTTAAGCAAGAAATTGAGAATGAAAGATCTAGGTAGAGTTAAACAGTACTTAGGAATTAACATAATGTACAAGAAGGAAGAAAGAAAGATGTATTTATGTCAGGAAGAATATATTGAAAATTTAGCTGTGAAATATCAAGTTACTGATTCTAAGAAATATGAAACACCAATGGAAATTAACTTAAAATTGAAACCATGTGAAAAGATAAATGAGAGTCTAAAATATCGAAATTTAATTGGAGCTTTATTATATGTTGCAAATGGTACACGTCCAGATGTTTCTTTTACAGTAAATTATATGAGTCGCTTTCAAAATGGTTACAGTGAAACTCATTTTAAATATGCCTTACGCATCTTAAAATACTTATATCACACGAAGTCTCTTAAATTACAATATGATAATAATAGTTCTGAAAACATTATGGAAGCCTTTGTTGATGCTGATTGGGCAGCAGACATTGCAGATAGAAAGTCTACCACAGGGATTGCAGTTAAAGTATTTGGAAATACAGTGTTTTGGAAATCACAAAAGCAGAAAATTGTATCGAGAGCTTCAACTCATGCTGAATATTATGCCTTAGCTGATTGTGTTGAAGAAGTTTTACCTATAAAAGGAGTGTTAAGTGATATTGGTGTTGTAATTAGTTCAATTAAAATTTATGAAGACAATTCTGGTGCCATAGCCTTATCAAAAAATGGTAAATTCTGTAGAAACTCAAAATATATTGATATAAGCTATCATTTTGTTCATGATCTTGAAAGGAAAGGTATAATTAATGTGTGCAAAATTCAAACTGAAGAGCAAATTGCTGACATATTAACCAAATCATTATGTAAAGTAAAGTTTCAAAAATTTAGAAACATGTTAGGGGTAAAATAATAGCGAGGGTTCTTCAGCGCATGCCTCGAGCGGGGCCAGTTTCCGAAATTGTGGAAGACGGGGAAACTGGTCCTCATCCGAAAGGAGGGGCGCCCGGCGGACTCACCGTCCTACCGGCCCATAGTGTTGCTTGAAGAGGTTTGCAAGCTCTTTGAAAGAGTGATTGCAAGGCGCCTCGTCAAGCATCTCGTGATGGTGGGGCCGGATCTGGCGGACATCCAGTACAGTTTTCGTCAGGGGCGCTCCACCGTGGATGCGATCATGCGCGTGAAGGCTCTGGCGGAGGAAGCAGTTTCCCGGGGCGAAGTGGTGTTGGCGGTGTCCTTGGACATCGCCAACGCGTTCAACACTCTGCCCTGGAGCTGCATCAGGGAGGCGCTCGTGTATGACGAAGTGCCTCTCTACCTCCGCCGCATAGTCGGCCCCGACTATGCGGCGGAGGTAGAGAGGTATTTGTCGGAGATAGCCGTCGTCTACCCCAGTAGGACCGGTCTCGGTAGGCGTGAAATGTCGTGCGGTGTTCCCCAGGGGTC